TAAGATTAAAGTCTAAATTAAACGGTTTTAATTAAAAATATTTAATATTTAAACTGAAATCAAATCAAACTTTAATTGTTGCTGAGATCAAAGGAAAGTTTTGCTGCAGGAACGAGCCGCTGAAGTGTTGCTTTTTTCTAAGTTCTGGTCCGGTTCTGAGGTTCTGATCGGTTCTTACTCTGAGAGAATCTGGGTTCTGGACCACCGAACCAGGCCGAACCGGCCCCGCCGCGCCCGGGCTCCTGGTAGGACTGCTCGGTGCCGCCGTTACAGAACCCTACGGATCCGGAGAACTGGGCCACACGGTAGGTTCCGATGGGTCCAAGAGGAGCTGAGGAAGAGGAGGATGAAGACAGGTGATGATGGTGATGATGATGATGGTGATGGAGGTGAGGCTGCTGCTGGTTCTGATAGTTCTGCTGGTTCTGGATCCCTGTCTGGGAGACCTGCTGCTGCTGCCTGTAGGTGCCCAGAGCGGTTCCGAGGCAGTCCATCCCTCCGAACCTCCTATATCCGTCCTCCCCCGAACCCAGGAGGTCCGAGACTGAGAACCTGGACTGCTTTGGACTCAAGGACATGCTTCCGGTTCGGTCAGGTCCGCTGCTAGATGCGGTCTGTCTCTCTGCCCAAGTCTTCCTCCCACACTCTGGTCCGGTCCGGTCCGGTACCTCTGTTCAGCTGAGAGGCAGTCCGGACCGTCCGGCCTTATCCCGCCGGAATCCCCGGGGGGGGCGGGGCTTAGAGAGAAGAAGGAGGACCTGATCCGAACTGTCAGAACCAGGAGAAAGGGACTGGATCTCCACCTAAAACAGGACTCAGAACCAGGAGAGGACTGGACCTGAACCTAAAACAAGACTCAGAACCAGGAGAGGAGGACTGCACCTGACCTCGATGAACCTCAGAGGTCACAGGTCATGTCAATCACAACATTCCTTTCATCAGCCAATCACAACATTCCTTTCATCAGCCAATCACAACACTCCTGTTATCAACCAATCACAATGGTTCTACAACCCCTGGCAAAAAGTATGGAATCATCAGTCTTGGATGAGCACTCATTCAGACATTTCATTCTGTAAAACAACTCAGATCAAAAACATGATACAATAATAAGGTCATTCCAAAGTGCAGCTTGTTGGCTTTCAGGAACACTCAAAGAAATTGTCATGATCTGTGTTTATTTTCTTAGTTTCTTAGTGTTTTCAGAGTTCCCCTGTGTTTCTCATCCCAGCTGTCTCGCATTTCCTTGATTACCACCCTTGTGTTTCTCCCCAGGTGTGTTCTGTTTAGCAATTAGTTTTCTGAGTATTTAAGCCCTGTCTTGTCTTTGTCTGTCGTCGGATCATTTTGTTTTGTTTGCTGTTTCCTGTTCCCTCGTGCCTGTGACCTCCGTGATTTTTGTAAGTAAAGCTGTCCTGACAGCAGTTTTTTTTTTGTTACTTAATAAATACTTTTGTTTGACCTTCTTGAGCCAGACTGCAACCTGGGTTTATTCCTGCCACACTTACGACAGAAATGAAGAGAAAACATTGTGGAAGTCAGTGAATGTTACTTTTATTGACCAAGTACAGGGAAAAAACTTATGGAATCACTCAAATTGGAGGTAGAAAATAAGGACACACCCAGTCAATTTCCTTTCCCTAAATGTACACCTGCCTTAGATTAGATCTGCTTGTTAGTCTGCAGTTAAAAACACCTGCAGTCATGACACCTTGGAGGGCTGCTGGACGAAGCGGAGTGGCAAGAACCATGGCTCCAACAAGAGAAATGTCTCTTGAAACAAAAGAGAGGATTGTGAAACTTCTTGGTAACTCTTCACGCATGGCTGCTAAAGATGTGGGCTGTCCACAGTCAGCTTTATCCAAGATATGGACCAAATACAAACAGCATGGAATGGTTGTTAAAGCCAAGCGTACTGGTAGACCAAGAAAGACATCAAMGCVWCAAGACAAACAACTTAAGGCCATTTGTCTTGAAAACCAAAAAAGTACAACTAAACAGATGAAGCATAAATGGGAGGAAGCTGGAACCAATGTATGTGGCCGAACCGTAAGAAATCGCCTAAAGGAAATGGGATTTCAATACAGGAAAGCTAAAAGAAAACCATCATTGACACCTAAACAAAAAGAACAAGACTGCAATGGGCTAAGGAGAGGTAATCATGGACTGTGGATGACTGGATGAAAGTTATCTTCAGTGATGAGTCAAGAATCTGCATTGGACAAGGTGGTGA